GCTTCAGAAATTTCTTTACCCAGATGAAATGTCTGACAGGATGCTATAATTCTCTGGTTCTAATTTTAAGTTTCCTAAATAGTACTTTCTACCATATCTCCAACTCAATAATTTCCCTGTATTTTCACAGATCTGGACAAAATTGTTCTGTCCACACTTAAAACTGGTTTATTAGTGTGTTCTACATAATGGGAATAAATAGTAATTATCACCATTCTAAGGAGGCCTAGTGGCACAGTGGTTAAGCACTCAACTGATAACCAAATCTCAGTGGTTGGAACTTAGAACCTACCAGCCACCAGGAAGGAAAAGAAGGCAGTATCCACCTGTAAAGATTAGTGTCTTGGAAACCTTATAGGGAAGTTTTACCTTGTCCTACAGGGTCTCTATAAGTCTCAATCAACTGGTCTGCAGTGGGTTTGGTTTTCTGGTTATTACCATATATTTCCAAGTGAGTGCTTTTTTACATAAATACCATTTCATAAGAATTTAAAGCATTCCATTAAAATACTTTGAAAGGGGAAAAGTAAAAGAAAAAACACATGCTCAATATGTCATCTTCTTTTAACCATATATATTTTATTTTAAAATGTCTTTGTGATCAAATGAGGCACAGATCTATTGAACATTTTGTAGTTACCATTTTTCTCCTTTGATGCAATCTTTTAATATATTGAAAGTTACAATGAATGAGAAATTCCCAACATATAATACTTCTTTTCAAAAATACAGGCATACAAAGATAACATTAAATACAGAAATATATCAAAACTAATAGTAACTGTATTACAGAATTAAACCACACCCTTTAAGTTCACAAAAGAACTTCTATTTCCATTCCACCCCACTGCAATTTCACACATATGAACACAACAGTAACAATAACAATAATATTATTATTAGCTAGTATCCATCCAATCCTCATTGAGTGCCAAGCACTGCTAAATAAGTTAAATGTATTGTTGTTAATTTTCACAATATTCTTAGCAGTTACAGACCATAATCACATAAATGAAGATACTGAGTCTTAGAAGCATTTGAAATCTTGCTCAAAGTTTGCACACCAAAAAAGTGGTGTGACTGGAATTCAGACTTACAACATATTGTTGTTGTTGTTGTTATGTGCATTTATACCCTCA